GGAAGGAGAAGGAAACCAGAATCCCTGAGGTGCCTCAATTGCTGATTTTTATTTTTTTTTAAATTCTTTTTTTTTTTTTCTTCTCCTTTTAATACTGGAGTAACGCTTCATGGGCTCTATAAGGCATATTTTTATGAAAATGAAATCTTCTAATTAAAAAAACAAAAACGGTGCTATGGTGTTTTAACAAACTGTATCACGCTTCTGCCTGATTCCATCTCGCTGAGGTGCTACTAATGTATATACTGAAACTAGGGAACCAAGAGAAAACACACACACACACACAAATATATATAAATATATATATATACAAAAAAAAAAAAAAAAGCAATGTCGTTGAGAAGGAAGTTGACTTTTCCGGAGCGACAGCTGGAAACGTGCCGGGAGCCGGGTGGGTTTATGCAAACTGAGATGGGTGCCACCTCGGAGGTGTCCCCGCCGACCGGGCTCGCGGTGGAGCCGTTCCCCTCTTGGGTGCGGGGTCGGGGTGCTTGTAGACGAGTTGCTCAGGCCACACGTGGTGGATGTGGTGCTTGGAGGAGGTTCTCAGCTGCGGTGCTCAGGCCACACGTCATGGACGTGGTGCTCGGACGTGGTGCGTGGACGTGGTGCTCAGCCAGGGGGTGTGAACATGGTGCTCGACCGCGGTGCTTGGACGTGGTTCATGGACAGGGTGCTTGGGCACGGTGCTCAACCGTGGTGCTTGGACATGGTGACAAGGGCACAGGACTTGGACATGGTTCATGGACATGGTGCTTGGGCACGGTGCTCGACCGTGGTGCTTGGACATGGTGACATGGCACAGTACTTGGACGTGGTGCGTGGACATGGTGCTTGGGCACGGTGCTTGACCGTGGTGCTTGGACATGGTGACAAGGGCACAGGACTTGGACATGGTTCATGGACATGGTGCTTGGGCACGGTGCTCGACCGTGGTGCTTGGACATGGTGACATGGCACAGTACTTGGACGTGGTGCGTGGACATGGTGCTTGGGCACGGTGCTCAAGACATGGTGCTTGGACATGGTGACAGGGCACAGGACTCGGACGTGGTGCGTGGACATGGTGCTTGGGCACGGTGCTCGGCCAGGCATCACGGACGCGGTGCTTTGACACGGTGCTCAACCACGCATCATGGACATGGTGCTTGGGCACGGTGCTCAGACATGGTGCTTGGACATGGTGACCGACCACAGTACTTGGACACACGGTGCATGGATGTGTTGCCCGGGCACGGTGCTTGGACATGGTGCGTGGACATGGTGCTTGGGCATGGTGCTCAGCCACGCATCATGGCCATGGGGCCTGGGCACGGTGCTTGGACGTGGTGCGTGGACATGGTGCTCTGGCATGGTGCTTGGCCGCACATCATGGACGTGGTGCTCGGGCACGGTGCTTGGACGTGGTGCGTGGACGTGGCACTTGGGCACGGTGCTCAACCACGCGTCACGGACATGGTGCTCGAGCACGGTGCTCGGACATGGTGTGTGGACACGGTGCTTGGCCAAGGTGTGTGAACGTGGTGCTTGGCCACTGTGCTTGACCACGGTGCTTGGACATGGTGCATGGACATGGTGCTTGGGCGTGGTGCTCAGCCGTGCACCGTGGACATGGTGCTCGGGCACAGTGCTCAACCGTGGTGCTCAGACGTGCTGTGTGGACAAGGTGCTTGGGTACGGTGCTCGGTCACGCGTTGTGGACATGGTGCTTGGTCATGGTGCTCAACCACGGTGCTTGGACATGGTGCGTGGACATGGTGCTCGGGCACGGTGCTCGGCCACGCGTCGTGGACATAGTACTTGGGCATGGTGCTTGGACGTGGTGTGTGAACGTGGTGCTTGGCCATGTATCAAGGACATGGTGCTTGGCCACGGTGCTTGGCCATGGTGCATGGACCAATGGTGCTCGGGCACGGTGCTCGGCCATGCACCGTGAACATGGTGGTCAACCACGGTGCTTGGCCATGGTGCGTGGACACGGTGCTTGGACACGACGTGTGGACATGGTGCTCAGCCAGGGGGTGTGAACGTGGTGCTCGGCCGTGGTGCTCAGCCGTGGTGTGTGGACATGATGCTCAGCCGCGATGCGTGAACATGGTGCTTGGCCGCGGTGCTTGGACTTCGGTGTGTGGACAGGGTGCTCAACCAGGGGGTGTGAACTTGGTGCTTGAACATGGTGCGGGGACACGGTGCTCGGGCAGGGTCCTCAGCCCGGCGCAGGGGGTGTTGTGCATGCACGATGATGCACGGGCACGGTGCACGGGCACGGTATGTTGGTGTGGTGCTCAGGCACCATGCATGGACCTGGTGCTTGGACGTGGTGCTCGGGCATGGTGGTTGGGGACGATGCCCAACCACGGTGCTTGAACGGGGTGCATGGGCTCGGAGAGGGTGCTCGGGCACGGTGCAAGGGCATGGTGCATGGACACGGTGCTTGGGCATGCTCCACAGATATGGTGCACGGGCACGGTGCTTGCCCACCACGCACAGACACGGTGCTTGGGCACGGTGGTTGGGCACGGTGCTCACCCACCATGCATGGACACGGTGCTTGGGCATGGTGGTCACCCACCATGTGTGGATACGGTCCCTGGGCACAGTGGTTGGGCATGGTGCTTGCCCACCTTGCACAGCTGTGGTGCTTGGCCACGGTGGTTGGGCATGGTGCTCACCCACCATGCACAGACACGGTCTTTGGGCTCGGTGGTCACCCACCGTATGTCTTCATGGTGCTTGGCCATGGTGCTTGGGCACACTGCTCACCCACCATGCGTGGACGTGGTCCTTGGGCTCGGTGGTCAACCACCATGCGTGGACGTGGTCCTTGGGCTCTGTGGTCAACCACCATGTGTGGACGTGGTCCTTGAGCTCTGTGGTTGCCCAACTTGCGTGGATGTGGTCCTTGGGCTCGGTGGTCACCCACCGTATGTCTTCATGGTGCTTGGCCATGGTGCTTGGGCACAGTGCTCACCCACCATGTGTGGACGTGGTCCTTGGGCTCTGTGGTCACCTACCACGCGTGGTCACGGTGCTTGGGCACAGTGGTCACCCACCATGCATGGACATGGTCTTTGGGTGTGGTGGTCACCACCATGCATGGTCATGGTCTTTGGGCACAGTGTTCACCACCATGCTTGGTCATGGTCTTTGGGTGTGGTGGTCACCCACCACGCGTGGACATGGGCCTTGGGCACGGCG